TGCTTGAGCTTGGAAGTTTGCTGCTCGAGCTTGGAGGTTGGCTGCTTGTTTTGGGGCAATTCCTATTTTTGCTGGAAGGGATATTCGAAGGTTTTCTGTGCAGACATTTGTTCTTTCCGGATGAACAGTTGGTTTTTGATGAAGTGCTGGGAATTTAATGGAAATCTTCTCTTTCTGCTGTGGCGCTGGACGGTATTTTTTTGGCAGGTCATATTTTACAATGGATTTGCTGGTGGCATAACCTTGCTGCCCGAATTCTTTTGCCATCGCTGATTCGTCGGATTCGAGTTTTTTGTTTGGGCAGGTTTTTTTGGGTCTTGGACGATGATGAACCCTGCCACTCCTTTTGGACGGTCTACGGGCAACCAAAGGAGACAGACCGCCTCATGATTGGAATATCTATTTTTGAGTCCAGGCCAGACAGAATTTCTGTCTGTTTTTTTTTTTTTGTTCTTCTTTTTGGGGTTTATAGTTGATTATAAATTCAATTTTGCTGGTTGCCCTCTTTTTGTTTTGGCAACCTTTTTCTTTGAATTTATCTTTGTAATCATCTTGATTTTTTTTTTAATAGAATGGGCTAAGCCCTCATTTCACCCAAAAAAAAAAGATATGGCAACTAGTGATTTCCTTTTTCATAAAAAAGGAGCAAACGTTCCGGCTCAACTTTCAAGAATAAAAAAAGGGCTCTAGAGCAGCTCCCTCCTCTCAAGTATGGAGCAGCAGACTCACGCTTCTCAAGGACAAGAAGGCTGAAGCTCGCCCCATTTTTTTCTCCCGAGACACGGAGAGCCCGGAGCTTCCTCTCTCTGGTCGTGAGAAATCCCCAACCGAAGCCTCCCTCACCCTTTGGCTTATCCCGGTTGTAAGATACCCTGACCAGCAGCCTTTAATCGGATCTCATCATCTCCGCCCCTCGCCCACGCAACCGCAGCCGACGACCCTTACCAGCTGCTCGACTTCTCGAGTCGAATCTGAGCCCAGGCCGGCGAATGGCAGCTCACCGACCTCGCCTCCGACCCAGCTTTTACCCTCGACGCCGAGCTCAGATCCTATCGGTTAGGTTCTCTATCGGTTAGGTTCTCCAGCCACCCACACTTTCTACAAGACCAAATCGAAGAAGAAACGTAAGCAAGGGGGAATTCCACAAATCGACTCAGAACAAATTTATAGATGCAAATGAAGGACAAGAAGGTACATTGTTTTATTTGCTTCCTCCTATAAAAACAAATTCAGTCTATTTGCAGAGGACTCTTAACTGAGCTAGTTGTTTGCTCTTTAATATTGGAAAGGCTTTTGGTAGAGTTGATGAAAACCTTCCACATTTTTTTTATTATTTTTTTTATTTCATATCCGGTCTCGTCAATGTGAGATACTGGAGACTTCCAATGATTCGGCGATAGGTGAGCGCGTCAAAGAGCGGAGGATCCTCGGATTTTAGAGCTGTAATTTTGGTGATAGACGGATTAGCGACCGGATTACATTTTGGTAATCCGGCCATTTGTAATATAGATTTGGCATAAGAGCTTTGAGAAAGAAAATACTTATCATGGGAGTGATCGATTTTGATGCCGAGGAAGTGGTTAGCCGCGCCGAGTTGCTTCATAGTGAATTTGCCCGTGAGCTTAGTAACCAGTTCGGTCATTGCTTGGACATTGTTCCCCGTAAGAAGGATATCATCTACATATACTAGTAGATAGATATGTGTGGCGCCTTCGTGAAAGATAAGGAGAGACGGATCAGCTTGGATGTGAGAAAATCCAATTTGACGAAGATAATTGGTAAAGGTAGTGAACCACTGGCGCGGAGCTTGACGCAACCCGTAGATAGCTTTCTGTAGCCGGCAAACATGAGACGGATTGGTGGCGTCTTCAAAGCCCTTCGGTTGCCGCATGAAGACCGTTTCGGTGATGTCGCCGTGCAAGAAAGCATTGGCTACGTCTAGTTGTTGAACCGGCCAGTTGTGAAAGAGAGCGACCGTGAAAAGTATTCGTATAGTGGGTAGTTTGGCCACGGGACTGAAAGTGTCTTGATAGTTGATGCCGAGCTCCTGCTGATTCCCTTGTGCAACTAACCGCGCTTTAAATCTAGCTACCGAACCGTCAGAGTTGTATTTTGTGCAATACGTCCATTTGGAGCCAAGTACAGGGGCATTAGGCGGAGGTGGCACCATGGTCCAGGTGCCCTGTTGCTGGAGAGTGAAGAACTCCTGAGCCATTGCTTGACGCCAGTGAAACTGTTTGGAGGCGTCATTATACGTGGTGGGATCAGCGATAGCTTGATCTTTATGAATGAGATTGAGACGCTGAACCGGCTTGAGAGAGCCAGTCTTATATCTGGTAGTCATCGGATGGCTGGTGATAGGAGGAACGGGTGATGCTGCCGTAGCGTGATAGTTAGTGGAGGAAGGCGGAGTCTCATGACGACTAGGAGAATGACTCGAGTTCGGCAAAGCAGCATCAACCGTTGTGAGCGGCTGGCAACATTTTGGTAACACCGAGGGTGGTATAAGCAGAGATGTAGGGGGTGAAGTTGCTTCGGAAACAGAGGTGGAGCTGCTGTCATGAAAAGGAAAATGTAATTCATTAAATTGAACATTTCGAGAGATTAAAATTTTATTGTTTGCTGGATTAAGGCAACGATAGCCCTTTGACACATCAGAATAACCCAGAAATACACAAGGTTGAGACGTTGGCATGAGCTTGTTGCGATGTATAGTCGGTATAAGGGGATAGCATTGACAACCAAACACCCGCAGATGTTGATATGATGGTTGAATGCCGAACATTTTAGTGAGCGGAGTCATATTGTTAATGGTCAGAGAAGGGAGGCGATTGATTAGGTAAACAGCCGTTTGAGCCGCCTCAAGCCAAAATGTCAAAGGAAGAGCAGCCGTGTGAAGAAGAGTGCGGGTGGTAGAAATAATGTGACGATGCTTTCTTTCCGCCACGCCATTTTGTTGTGGAGTGTAGGCACACGAGTATTGGTGTTTAATCCCTGCAGTTTTGGTGAAATTCTGAAAAGCATTATTAATAAACTCACCACCGCCGTCGGTTCGAATTGTTTTGAGTTTAAGTGACGTTTGACGTTCAATGAAGTTAGTAAAAGAAATAAAGGTGTTAGTAACATCAGATTTGTGCAGAATAGGAAATAACCAAGTAAAACGAGAGAAGTCATCGACGAATATAACATAATAGCTAAAACCTTGATGAGACTGAGTTGGGGAAGGTCCCCAAACGTCAGAGTGGACGAGTTCCAGAGGGGAACTTGTGCGGCTAACCGAATTATCAAAGACAAGTTTGTGACCTTTACAAGACATACAAGAATTACAAACAGACTTAAGCGGTAAAATACGTAAAGAGGGATTGTAGTTGGAGATGTGCTGCAAGACTTGGTGATGGGGATGCCCGAGCCTGCGGTGCCACTGATCAGTGGATGCCTGGAATGTACTCAGTGCGGTAGACGGGTAGCTGGATCCAGTTGATGATATCTTGTAGATTCCTTGGCTGCACGGTCCTTCAAGTAAAACTTGATTTGTCGACCGATCCTTAAATACAAAACCACGTTCATCAAATGTAATTGAGATATGGTTATCCCTTACTAAATTCGAAATAGACAGAAGATTAAATGCGAGAGAAGGTATATGTAAAAGTTTAGATAAAAAAATCTTACGATCCGGGGTAGGAAGAATGCCCGAGCCAGAATGGGCAATTGGGACAGATCTTCCATCCCCAAGCGTTACCGTGTCTTGGCCAGAGTAGGAGTTGTACGCTTCAAGATTTCCAATTGAATTCGTCATGTGAGATGACGCGCCGGAATCAAGATACCAATCGGTTGTGGATGGTCCGTCAGTATGGGCAGCGAGCGCATTGTTTGTTTTGTTCTGAGAATTTGGTGGAGTGTAATTGGGATTGAGACGATGCCAACACGCCTCGGCACTGTGACCTTTCTTCTTGCATATTTGACAGATAACAGTCGTGGTGGAAGACGTCCCTTGCGTTGGAACATTGTTATTCGGTTGTCTGCCGCGGCCGCGTCGGCCCCGTCCACGAACGGAGTACAAGGCAGACTGAGTTTCCGGGACTTTTGGAAATTTTTGAGCTGCTATCTTGAGATGGATCTCCTCACTTATGAGAAGAGCGTAGAGAGTGTCGAGAGACAGCGAACCTTGCATCGTGCGAATGGTGGTGGTAAAGGGCTGGTATGCCGGAGGTAGACCATTCAGAATGTAAATGATGACATCCTCAGGATCGACGGTCGAGCCGGCTGAGGCAATTTGATCCACGATTTTCTTGATCTCAGTGAGATACTGAGTCATGGACATCGTTTGCATCGAAATGTTGTGAAGCTCGTGTTTCAATTGAATCACCTTAGATCGATTAGAGGCTTGAAACCGAGTGTGGAGAGTTGTCCAAATATCATAGGTTGATTCAAGATGTATTACATAAGGAAGGACCGCCGGAGATATGGTTGAGCACATCGCCGTCGCCAAGTTTTGGTCGGTGACCAGCCAAGATTGAGAATCTTGATTTGGATCAAGATTTTCGGACAGAGTTTTGGATTGAAGAAATCCTGCGAATCCATTTGCCCGAAAAAGTTTGGCGATTTGAGTGCTCCAGATCGGGAAATTGTCCGGAGTGAGTGCGTACGGTACCAAGAACTTGAGATTGGAGATGACGAATTTTAACGAGGAGGAGATGACCGGAGAAGAGGCGGCGGCAGCAGATGCTGTACCGGTGGATGAGGTCGCCGGAGCTTGATTGGCCATGGCGAAGGACCTCAAGAACGCCCAGCTCGTGATACCATGTAGAAATTTACAGAACAGAGGAGATAAAGTAAAGTGAAGAATATTATTGATCTATATCTTTCTCTATACAGACAATACATTTATATATATAATAGTATACTAGGAGAGGTACACATGTAATAATCTGATTGGTTCAAATGGCAGCATACGTCTGATTGGTTTAAATGGCAGCAGATGTAAATATAATTAGCTGCTCTTAACATCCCCCCTCAAACTGGGTGTAGGATGAAACAGTCAGTTTGCTGCGAAGAATCTTGAACCGCGGTGTAGACAGCGGTTTGGTTAGAACGTCTGCAATTTGATCAATAGTACTAATGGGTAGAAGAAGAATGACTTTGTTTAAGATGTGATCGCGTATGAAACGTTGATCAATTTCGATGTGCTTGGTGCGAGCGTGAAAAACTGGGTTGTTAGCGAGAGCAATGGTAGACGTATTATCACAAAATATTTCCACCGGTTCGGATTGAGTAACGCCAAATTCAGCAAGAAGACGTTTGATCCAAATGGTGTCAGCAGTGGCTGAGGCGAGGGCCCTATATTCCGATTCGGTGGATGAGCGGGACACCGTGTTTTGTTTCTTGACAGACCACGAGATCAGCGTGTCGCCCAGAAACGTACAGAACCCGGTTGTAGATCGGCGGGTGGCTGGATCAGAAGCCCAGTCCGCGTCGGAATAAGTTCGAAGGAGAAGAGTGGATTTTGTAATTGGCAATCCAAAGTCCAGAGATCCTTGAATGTAGCGAAGAAGTTTCTTTAGCATGACCGTGTGAATTGGCTCGGGACTGTGCATATGCTGGGAGAGCATGTTGACGGCATAGGCGATGTCCGGTCTCGTCAATGTGAGATACTGGAGACTTCCAATGATTCGGCGATAGGTGAGCGCGTCAAAGAGCGGAGGATCCTCGGATTTTAGAGCTGTAATTTTGGTGATAGACGGATTAGCGACCGGATTACATTTTGGTAATCCGGCCATTTGTATTATAGATTTGGCATATGAGCTTTGAGAAAGAAAATACTTATCATGGGTGTGATCTATTTTGATGCCGAGGAAGTGGTTTGCCTCTCCGAGTTGCTTCATAGTGAATTTTTCCTTGAGCTTAGCAACCAGTGCTGCCATGGCTTGGACGTTGTTCCCCGTAAGAAGAATATCATCTACATATACTAGTAGATAGATATGTGTGACGCCTTCGTGAAATATAAGGAGAGACGGGTCGGCTTGACTATGAGAAAACCCAATTTGACGAAGATAGTTGGTGAAGGTAGTGAACCATTGGCGCGGAGCTTGACGCAACCCGTAGATTGCTTTTTGTAGACGGCAGACATGAGACGGATTGATCCCCAGCTGAAGCCTCCCTCACCCTTTGGCTTATCCCGGTGCTGACGACCCTTGGCAGCTGCTCGACTCCTCGAGTCGAATCTGAGCCCAGGCCGGCTAATGGCAGCTCACCAACCTCGCCTCCGACCCAGCTCTTACACTCGACGCTGAGCTCAGATCCTATCGGTTAGGTTCTCCAGCCACCCACACTTTCTACAAGACCAAATCGAAGAAGAAACGTAAGCAAGGGGGAATTCCACAAATCGACTCAGAACAAATTTATAGATGCAAATGAAGGACAAGAAGGTACATTGTTTTATTTGCTTCCTCCTATAAAAACAAATTCAGTCTATTTGCAGAGGACTCTTAACTGAGCTAGTTGTTTGCTCTTTAATATTGGAAAGGCTTTTGGTAGAGTTGATGAAAACCTTCCACATTTTTTTTATTATTTTTTTTATTTCATAACTATCAACTTCTCATTATTCTTTCATGCAAATATGAAGACTAAATTGTCTGTGATAGAAACATGTGTTTGTAACTGGAAAGTTGTAATGATAACCAAGTCTCTTTAATCTGTGATTGACTATAGATAGAGAAGTTAATTGTATCAAGATTGATATTTATAATTTATTTGGAATGACATAGTATTGATTCTTTGACTAAAAAAAAAGGAACTTGTGAATTTTGTTGTCTTATGGGAATGATTATATTTGGTACTGCCATATAGATTCCTGTTCTGCAAATAATTTCTATTTTCATTATGCCTTAGACATTTGTCAAGCTTTGCCTCTTGTTCAATCACTAAGATTGCAGACATCTGTATATATGCCTTAGCTACATATCTTTAAGTTTTGTTTTTCAGATAACTCATTTGCTTAGGAGATGAAGGCTCATGTTAAATGCGCGAATTGATATTAATATTCGATAGATAAATCTACTGGACATTTTTATTGAGATGAGAGAAGTCTGCATCCTTGAAATAATATTTGAAATAACATTTGCTTATCTTAGAAATAAAATTTTATAATTATGTGAATGAAAGCATATGTTAGATTTAATTTATTTCAAATGAATTCACATTGATGTGCTATTTTTTTAATTAATTTCGCATGACTCCCATGGTAATCGTCTCTACATCTCCAATGTATCATTCATGCATCTTAAAGCTTTTGTTGATGATAAAATGAAATGGGTCCTTAGGGCATCTCCAACCGAAAAACTCATTTTTCACTCCAAAATGCAGTAATACACGAAAATGCAGTAACTTGTCTCCAACCGAACTCCATTTTCTAACACCAAAAAAAGAATATTCTTAGTATATTCTTTCCCATATTTCATTTTACATATTTTTAATCATTAATATTATTTATCGAATTTTTGAATTAAATCTAATATAATTAAAACAAATATTTTTTGCTCAATAAAATAATTTGTAATATAAATATGTCATAAATAAATATTTAGTTAATAAATTGAAAATTACATTAGAACACATAAATAAGAACGAGAAAAATACAAGGCAACTAAACATTAGATTTTGATTTTTTTTTGGGCATTGTACTTCTCAATATCTTTTAATATCCTCTAATAAGATATATATATACAGTTTAATACTTTTTATGAAAACTTGTAAATATTCATACATGTATACCTTTGAAATCTTTAGCGACGATGCTTTCGTTCTTTTCATGTCAGCTTACTAATTAGTTTAATTGATGAAGTAATAACTTTAGTAGAAATTGATCTTTGATTCATCGTATTCATTTCCCTATTCTTTTTTTATATATATGTAAAAAAAAATCAAGATAATTTGTAATTTGTTTCGCATGGCTTACAAATAATTAGAGAGTGTTCATATGTAAATACATATTCAAACTTTTTCATCAATTGATTTTTGAGAAAATTTCAGAATATATCTAAGCTTCTTTACTTATCAAATTAATTATGGTTGATCAACACAAAAAGGGAAGACTATGTTGGACAAATTGCACTCTTTTATATCTCATCAGCGTATGTTTAATTATGAAAGTTTACGAAGAATTGTTGGAAGGCTTATGTGCTTGTTTAAGTTGTATATTTGAGTATTTAATGCAAATACGAACATCATGTGTAACATCGTATGATTCGCCCATACATTCATGCTAGGAACAGAAGTTTGTATAATAAAAATTTTGAGTTCGTACAAATGAATTGGTATGCTAATCAAAAATAGAGAATGTTCCATATAAACGTCGTCCGTTTATGTTTAGCAGAGCATGTTATTATTAATTATCAATTGCATAAGGATATCATACACCATTCTTTATGTTATTTTCATTTGTCAATATACAACATGTATAATGTTTGCATTAATACAAATGTTAGATTTCTTTGATTAGTATGAAATTAAATATACCACAATTCATGTGATTAAAAATTGCCTTAAATATAATTTCACTCAATGGTTTCGTGGGTCTCAAAATATAGTATGATTAAAGTTACTTCATTTAATCTCTCATGTTATGTCTATATGTATAATAACTTTCAAATGTCATATCTGGTTTCATTGGCATAACAATTTGAAGATCAAAATGCATGAATTTCTGACACCTTCTTATCTCTTTGCGTTGCTTGCGAGGTACATCGGGAGCTACTTGGACAAATAAGCTTGGACAATGTATACGAGCATCAGTCGCCCCCATTCATTCCGGTGAGGGTGTTACGGGCGGAACCACCGGGTCATAGCCCCTAGTGTAGTAAGTTTCCTAAAACTTAGAAAGCCCTTTAGAAGCCCTCATGCTTGCACACTTTCCAACCTTAAGACCCTATAGAAACTTCAATTATTAGATTATTTTCTTGTATTATTTCTATTTATAGATCTCTAAACCCATTGATACACATACGAATGTTCAAAGGGTTAGAAATGAACTTTCTTTCGTCCTCTTTAACACTACTACACTAGTGACACCTAAGGAAAAAAATTAAAAACCGAGTCTTATATAATATAGATTTAGGATGCATGCTCCTTTTAAGATAGAAACCATCAAAACATAGAAATTCTAGGATTAATGTGCCTTAATCTATTAATAACTAATCAATAAAATTGATAATAATCCAAGTCAAAACACACTAAAACACTTAACTTTTAATCAAACCATAATTAACATACATAACCACTAAAATACAAAACTTGAACATACACTTGAATTATGTCTAACCAACTCATTAATCAACTTCTAACAAACCTAAAACTTAAAAGATGTAGACTAACTCAGGAGAGTAAGCCTAAACTAAAACTTGCTAAAAATGAAAGACTTCTAAAACTCAAACTTTAATCAATTAATTACACACCTGATTTAAAACACCTTTAATATCGAATCAAGTGAATTAAAACCTAAATAAATGAACAACATAAGAGAAACTTATTAAAAGGCTTAATCATAACCCAAAATCTATTAACTTAAAATTTAATCAAACTCTTAATTAATCCTTTAAAAATCAATCAACAAATTCCCTAATTAATAATAAATTATTTAATTCACATTTCTTCTTAATTTATAACCAATTAGATTAACTTAACAAAATTGGTTACCACTGGATAACCCAGGCCTACGAGACTATTAACTTAGTCCCAAGGAGGGTGAAATAAATCTCATGTCCTCGGTGAGCAACAAAGGTGGTGATCAAGTGAGTACTAAAATAAAACTCTTAAAATCAATTTTAAAATATTAATACTTAAACTTGAACTAAAATTACTCTTTTGTTCTTTAACAAATCAAATTACAAATAACTTAAACTAAATCATTCTACATAGGACATACCCAAAATAACACAGCCTACTAAACGCACCTAGACTTGTTTGTTAAGACACAACTTCTAGTCCTGGGATATGTCTTGTTTTCTTTCTTTTTATTTCTGTGATGTGACGCATTGCATGTGAAATGTGTGCTGATTGTTCTTGCTGTTTGTTTTAGCTTTCTATGATGATTACTAGTTTTTTTTTCTGTATTATATTGTGAGCGATATAATACCCATAGGTTATGAACGCTTTTTATACTGCGGTGTTTCTTGGATGGCCAGGGTTGGTGGCAACCTGGGTGGCTCGTTTTGATGTTTTTGGTTGCTTCTCATTTTGGATTTTATTTTCCTCCATGGATGGTCCCTCCGTGGCAATTCGGTGTTGTCTGAGTCCGACATTCTCCGATGTTCCACATCCAACTTTCAGTTTGTTTTGTTACTACTCCTCTTTGATTGTAATTTTATTGATGTGGCCTAGTGGTGGTCTTTTACTGTATCATTTTCGTTTAATTGAATTCCTTTAGTTAAAAAAACAAAAAACAAAAAACAAAAAAAAAACATTGTCATTCATAATGTTAATGCAAAAAACAATATTTAGTGTTTGGCACTCAAATAACAATTCCTTTAAATTCATTCTCATGGATAGTTATAACAATACGTATTAGGGCTGCAAGCGAACCAAACGTTCGACGAGCTACTCGTTGTTCGGTTCGATTAAAACTTGTTTGTGATCGTTTAATTAACTAAACAAACAAACTTGAATAATATTTTAAATACTCGATTCTTAAATAAACAAACTTGAACACTAATGTGTTTGGCTCATTTATGTTCGCGAACAACATCATTTGAAGTTCGTGAACAAGCTCGATAAAAGCTCGATTCGTGTTCGATTTTGAACTCGTGAATAAGCTCGATAAAAATAATTAATATTTGACTATAAATTAATAAATATAAATAATCATTGCCTTTGTTACATAGACAATTGCTTTTATTATAAATGCGTTTGTTCATAGATATGTTCATGAACGTGTTTGTTTGATAGTTAAAAAAAAATTCGTTAAATATGTTCACGAACAAGCTCGATAAGCACTAAACGAACGAACATGAACCGAACATGAACACATATTAATTTAAATGAACCAAACATGAACACAAACAATAAAGCTAACTTCTGTAAAACAGGAAGTTAGAAGAATTAGAAGTGAACATCCTGGGATGCTTTGGCCGTAATGAGTGATCGAGTGAAAGGATCATTCAAAGTCACAAGAGCTTTTGCTGTTGGATTTTTGAAGCGGGTATTTCAGATAATACATATTTTTACATATTTATCCTTCTACTCATTATGAATTCAGCATAATGAAATTTAATGTTGAAGCAATATGATTTCTGTGATGTTTAATTGATTAATAATTATATGTTGTTACTTAATATGAATCAGGTTGCGCTCATTTCTTTTTGTATTTCACTTTGCCATTGATCAGTTCTAAAAGTGAATCTCTTCTTCATGCTATTAGGAACTGAAGCGTGCGATCGATTGTAGCTATCTTAAAAAATGATTAGAAAACTGTTGCAAGAAAAATAGATTTTTTGAAGTTGCTGCGATTATTCTTCATTTTTTCTCCTTCCGAGAGTAATATACTTTTCAATCTTTAATAGCATTAACAAAGATGTTGTTTATAAAATTTTTAATGAGTTTATTTTTTGCAATGATATTTTTTTTCTAAATGGCTTGATGAGTGGCTTTATCCTTAGAGATAGGATAAGAAATGAGCATATACGTGAAAAGGTTGGTGTAGCTCCAGTAGAAGATAAGATTAGAGATAGTGCCTTAGATGGTTTGGTCACATAAAACGGCGGCCTTCCGATGACCTGGTTAGGGGAGTAGAGGTATTAGATTTGACTTATGTTAAGAAAGATAGGGGTAGACCTAAAAAGACTTGGTTAGAAAATATTAGGAATGACCTTTCTTTATTAGATTTAAACGAGAATTTGATTTTTAATAGGACACAATTAATGGAGAAAAAGGATTCATGTAGCCGACCCCACGTAGTGGGATAAAGGCTTGATGTTGTATATTTTTTTTCTAAATGCTTTAAGCTTTTTGGAGAAAGGTATGCCTTATATATTCCATGTTGATTTTGGTGAGGTATTATATGTTTTGTACCTTCTTTACCCTTATTCTTATTGGTTATGAGCAGGTTATGAGCAGGTTGAGAAGCAATTCTTTTGTATTATATGTTTGTTTGGTTCATTACTATCTTTATGTAATTTCTATTAAGCAAACCAGTTAATACAATATTTGAGAGTGCCATGTGCTGTAGCTATGCTAGCCCAGATCATGCATGAAGCTTCTATCATTGATTCGTAACGGTTCAATCTGAACCGTCCATGTGTGATGTGTCCCCTTTACTTTACTATGCAATCATGAGATGCTTGTAATATATAGAGCTACCTTTATCAGTAAAGGGTAGAATGAATTCGGCTATACACTTTCTTCTTCCTGTTTACTTTCTTCGCTAACTTTCTTCTGCAGGTTAATCTCTTAAGCAGGTTTCTTCATGGTATCAGAGCCAAGTTTTTTCGTTCATCCTTGAACGAAATAAGTTCTAAACATCTGTCGCCTATTTCTCGATCTTCTATTCATCTTGACCTAGATGGATTCATGACCTAAATCCTCTACCTCCGTTCCTGCTACCAATATAGTCAAAATGGCGGACACCCCTATTCCTTTTCAACTGAAATTTCTCATGACTAATGTCAAAGCAGTTCTCAACATTCAGCTCACTACCGAGAACTATCCCTTTTGGAAATCGCAGATATTCAAACTCTTCACTACTAACGGATTCTATGGTTACTTGGATGGCTCTACACCCAAGCCCACTCGGATGATACCGTTTAACTTAGTAAAAGTGTTAGATTTGTTTGTGTTGACTCATATCTAAACTTATTTGTGCGTTCGTAAACCATTTTAGTTAGTATAAATTATTGTAGAAGAAGATTCAGAATTTTACTTCGCTTATTTTAATTTTATGCTATCTAATAAAGAGATCTTTGTTGCAGCTTCTTATAGGTGAGTGAGGAGCTTCAATATTTGAGGATATGGGTTAGTCTTAAGCTATATTTTTAATTTTTTATAATATTTATTTTATAATTAAATAAAATGGTATTATTTATAAATTTCTAATATTTATTTGAAAAGTTTTAATTTTTATTCATGTGCGCACTTTATGCTCAAGCAAATAAATATTAATTATTATAATTACTTATACAAATAAATTTAATAATATTTTATTTTTAAAACAATTACAATAAAATAAAATATTTATAAACAAATTTATATTTAGTTTTATTCATGCTGCAATAAAAACTAGTATAATTAAGCATCAAAAATAGTTCTTGGGACTATTCTCATGAATGATCAAAAATGATCTAAATTATTTAAAAATCCTATTTTAGTTCTGATTCTTTATATTTAGACCTAAATGATCTCAAAGAAAAACTAATTGATCTCTATTAAGAGTCAACATAAAAAATTGAGTATTTATACAGTCTGAGATTATTTTAGCAGAAATTTGATCCTTTTTCATTATTCTAAATTTTCTTTGATAAAGCTTACGAGCATGAAATATAAAATTTTCAAGTAGTTATCAGCTGAAGATATAATGATATCTAATTGGTGAATTCCTGAAGCAATTACGTTATAATAAAAGAGTTATTCATTTAAATTAATTTAATGGAGAAATTGGTAATTCCATAAAGTCGTAAGTGGCTAATGAATATCATACAAATTAAATCAATAATATTATAACGTAATCTTAAAGTAATAGTATTATTACGCTGATGAACGTAAGCTTCAATTTGGATAGTTTTACTGTTTTAAAGGTAATTTTAGTATAAAATTTCTAGTTTATTTTTTTTTTTTTTTTGTATTGAAAAATTGTTAGAAAGCAATAAAAAAGTTTTTTCCATAAGAAAAATAATCTTAGCATTAAAATCATGAAATCAAGTATAGATCATTCACTTTAGGCTTCGTTTGGACGGCTTTTTTCATTGCTTTCTAAAACAGAGTTTTAGTTTAACAAATAAAAAAAATTTTACTAAAGCTCCGTCTTGAAAGCAATAAAAAAGCCGTCCCTAACGAAGCCTTATCTGAATTTTGTTGAAGTTGGCCCAAATATAAACGGTAAGAGTCTGCTTTGATCGCTATAATATTTTATAAAGGTGATTTAAATTGAGTATAATAAAAAAAATTTTTTTAAGAATTGCTGAATATTATAAATATATTATAAAAAATAGAACAAATGATTTTCTGTAAAGTTATTATACATAGCAAATTTTTATTGTAAAAAGCAGATTTTCCTAAACCTACAAAAAATTTCTGAAAAGCAATTAAAAAATTGGGTAAAAATAATAATAATAAAACAATAATCAAATAAAGTTCTATTTACAATCTAAAAAGTAAAACAATGAGATAGTTGTGTCCCACATAGAATTAATTATTTCGTACTGAGAAACAGAACGCCGTCCGGAGGCCAATCAAGATGTGCCACGTCATCCCTTGCTCGGTTTTCTTGGCTCGGTACTGCAGCTCCGTACTGCCGACATGGCGCATCCTAGCTAGTTTCTAGATGACGTTCTACGTCCGGTCTCTACACAGAATAATTTCTCCACACAGCCTCATATGCTCCATGCATAGGACACCAAAATGGCAAAATGTGTACTTATTGGATTAATTAAAATTTTCTTTATAAATTATTGAATAACATTATAAAATAATATATGTTGGATTCTATATTATCTTTAAATGATAATAGAACTTGATTAAAAGTTATGATATACATAATATTATATTACGATGAGTTTAAATATTCTTAAACTATCTTTAAAATTAATTTTATATGTTAAAAGTTAGCAATATTTTAGTTTTAAAATCAATTTAAAAACGTTTAATCTCATCATTCTATATTTTATATCAACAATCTTTAAAAGATATCCTCAAAAATTTTTCCTAAGCAGTTGGTCTAAGAATCAATGTATCTAAAAGCTCCATTATGTTTCCTTCTCTCTCCCCAATGTTTATGCTCTCATAGAGGTTCTTTTTTAGGAACTTTTGAGTCAATTAAGTTAAATTCACAAACACATTACACACATAAGCTTCGAATTCAAGACCTCTTGGTTGGTAATCAAAGCTCTCAATCAATATATCAAGATGAGCTGCTCTTCCAGAGGTTCTTCATATCCTTAGAGAACATTCCTCTATATCATACATGGGCATGCCCATTTCTACTAAAAGGTTTTTTTTTTTTTTAATTAGCTAATTTCGTTCTAATGAAAAGGTTTCTTCTTTGCTTGAGGGGTGAAAAATAACGGCTCTCTCATTTGCTGGCAGACTTCAATTAAAAAAATTTTTTTTTTAATTCCATTTTGTATTCAATTAGAGGAGCCATTATGCATAAATCTTGTTACAAATTTTTAAATTTTGTTCAAAAAATTTTGTAACATGGCGATATACAATGAGGAAGTTACATATGGTGACTTGGAATAATGCTTGCAAGTTCTTAGCGTGGTGGTTTGGGTAATATTTTCCTTCTAACTTGCTTATTCTTTCTGTTACACTTTGATATAGAGGGACATATCTTTGGAGAGCTTGCTTCCTAAATGGTTGAAATATAAATATTGCTCCTGAAATTTTACCTCCTAAATGGTTGAAACATGTTAGATGATATTAGAGAGGCTACAATAGGTGGCCTATTATGAAGGACGAGCTCAAGTTTGAAATTAATTATAGCATTAATTTCTTTTTATATGGGACTAATGAATCATGGCCGAGCTATTCACTAGCCATCTTAGTTGATTTGCATCAGTTACTCGGTTTTGTTCCAGCCAACGTTGTGGTTGTTGACTTCGGCTTTATTAGAGACAACTTTTTTACTGTTTCTTAAAGCAGCTTTTTAGTATAAAAATTTTAATTTTTATACTAAAAATTTGTTTTAAGAAACAGTAAAAAAGCTGTCACAAACAAAGCCTTCATTAGATAAGGTAAATAGCATCTTCCTACATTGTTCCTTCCTCATATCCAAACCCATATTGATTTTGTGCTAATTTATGATAAAGCTAATTGCTACCTCTGTTGGGCTCAAAATGATCATCTTAATTCAAATGCTTCTTTCTCTCCTTATTCTACAATGTTGACAAAAATGCATGGTGAAAACAAGTATCGCACTACAAGCATTCCTTGGCATCGGTTGGTAGGTTACAAACTGTTGAAAGTCTTATTAATTGAAATATCCCTATAATGTCTTACTGCAACCTTTGCCTTGTTAACAAGGAATTTATAGCACACTGATTATTCCAAAGTCACTTATCATTATATTTCCCTTTGTCTTTTGCTTCCCTTATCCTAGTCGTTCTGGCTCAAGCTATAAACATTCATCAGGTTCTGGATATTTCCTCCATCAGCACCTCATTTGATTTTAAGAATGCTTACTATTTGATAATAGATAATATTATTTACTACATTTAGAGAGAAATTAATTTATAACAAATGGTTTGGTTGTCAAATTCATTGGCAAACTTCGCATTTTCATTAAGTTAAGATGACAATCGGGCTCAAAATCAGATGACAGAAAAATTATCAGACAATCTGAAATTTTCTCTCTGCCAGTTTTGAAAATGTTGCACAATGATGATTGTTGTGAACTAGAATATTAGCAACGATAAATTATTAAATTTTACGTCTTAGTATTGCATGATTATACAGCTCGCAACAAAGAAATAATAGAAACATCAAAATGTTTTACGTGGAAAATTCTGAAGGGAAAAACCACGGGGTCGTGCCAAGTTGAAATGATTTTACTATTATTTGAATAGCTTACAAATGATTTATTTGTCTTTGAGACTGAGGACGATTAGATTATAACAGTCATTCGTTAGGTTGAAATCTTGCGATGAATAGGGATCGAACTAAAGTCTAACGGTCTTCGATGGTGGATGAAAATTCGGTGTCAGTTGGCAGTTGAGCGCAAGTTTGGCGAAAGCTGGTGGTCGGGCGGAAGTCCGGTGACAATCGGTGGCCGAGCATAAGTTCGACGAAGGTTGGTGACCGGGCAGTGGTCGAGGAGGAGGAATCTGGTGGCAAGAGAATTATGATTTCTCTCACTTCCTTTTATTCCTTGCTTAAGTTCCCCTCAATTAAAAATGGGGGCATATTTATAGCTTTTTTGGAGTGGCATTACCATTAAATAGGGAGAAGATCAATGGCATGTTAGGAGTGTTCTGAATGGACGTACGACGATCGATGTTGACTCCCTTTATCGTGGATCATTTATCAAGTATTTGAGTGTCTTAATGACATCATAATTCAACGTTCATGGTCTCGTTGGACTCGTTTCGTCGAGCCGTTCTGTTCGACTATAAGCATGTAATGTTTGAAAATGGTTTGGTCATCCAAATTTATGATTTGAACCTTTCAAATGTGTTTCGAGTCATTGATTTGAATCCCTTTAAGCTCGGATTGGGTCGAATTTGGTGTCGTTGGGTTTGTCTTTTCTAGATACTCAATTCTACTATAAGTTTGCTGAAATCAAAGTTCGGATGATCCTAAATTTAATTTTAAAAGTTTCTAACTTGATTTTTCCTCTAGATTCATGCCCGATCTTGATTGATTTTTGGAGATATATCAATGATGAGTTTTACTATCCCTCGTATTCCATAGTTTATTTATTACTTTTGAGCATTGCAAAAGTTTTGATGCAAGTGAATATACTTTCATTGGGCTAAGGCCTCTTTTAGCATCCACCCAGTCAAGGAAGAGAAAAAAATTCCCCCCAAAAAAAAAAAAAGAAAGATATTATAAAATATTTTCGCAAAATTTTAAATAAATTCCAAGTTGCCACATAATTGTAAAAATATTTCGTTATCTCCTATTTCCTTTCCACGCACACAGGCACGCTCTGCTTGGCTTTGCTATGTGTCCGCATATTCTTGTAATGGTGCGGGTCCCTTCTCCCCACACTTCTCCTCCTGCTCCCATGTGCGAGCGGCTGATGCGTCCGTCTACTTCCAATAATATTACGCCA